TTAGCTACTGACATTAAGTTTAGATATGAGAATTTATCATACAAGTGCATGCCCACACTTCTTATAGCTTCCTGCACTTATTAGTAATTAGATCTAAATATATGTTCCATTGACATGCACAGTGGGATGATGTAGCCACTGTCCAGCAGTGACTCTGAAGATGATAGGCTTTAGAGAGAGAGCACCCAATGCACACTGTACTGTAACTTACACTGTTCAAATTCAACTGTCAATATTTCCCTTTGTTCTGCTTGATTCCTTCAGTCTTTTGACATCTGTGCTACTTTTATTGTTATACTATCTCATTCTCTTTTTGTGTGAAATAAATTCCTTTTACATTAAAATTAGTATTATTATTAAATGGTATTATATGAAAGTCAATTGATGATTGTGTGCATGTATTGTTTTAGTGTCTTCTCATCACTTCCTGTGTTTATACTTAAGCATTTGATTGCTAATGCCAGCGTGTACTTGATCTGCTGTCTTGTTTTGACAGTAATAGTCTACAAAGTCTCCCTCTGAATTGATGAGGTATATTATAATAGTGTGATCAACCTGAAGCAGGAGAGAATTATCAATGAAATATTTTAGTATATCAATTACACAATGTATAATGATTCAGTGAACACTTAGGAAACTATGAAGTAACCCATTATTGAAACTGCCGATCAATGGTACATATTCACAAAATTGTGAATATGTAGCATTGATCAGCAGTTTTAATAATAGACTACTCCATAGTTTCCTATCTCATGTCATAGGCAGGCCTGGTATGTGGGCGGTGGTTTTTTTATCTATTCATTGTCATAATAAATTGTGTGTACAATTAATAAAAATCTACAATAATTATAATAGTGACGTGACACCATCCAGGTGGAAAAAGAAAACTAATTTGCAAATGGCCAATTACCAAAATAAAACTTTGCTAAATAATTTATGATAATTTACAAAAACATACTCCCCTCCCTCCCTCTCTCTCATTCCTTACTAAATAATCATTATCATCATCAACAGGTGCTGGACTGTAATAGACTCGATAAGCTTTAGCTGCTGTATGTACCTCTTCATTTGTTCCTGTTAGTCCTAACAGCTTAGGATGAAACTCTATAAAAGATAAAATAAAGTAAAAGTAATATTGCTATACTGGCATATTGCTTATACTTATACATATTGCATATTGCTATACTGC